TCGCTTGGTGCCTTCTTGATACTGAGACGGAAATGAGCGATGGTCGCAGACTTTTCCAGCGCCAAACCCCACCTACAAGTTAAGACCCGCAACAAGCAGGCATACGGAAAATGAGTAGCGATTGAGGGCCGAAAGGTGAAGGGACCAGAAAGAAGGGATCGATAAGAATGAGGAAAAGACGAAGAAGACGAAGAAGAAGAAGAAGAAGAAGAAGAAGAAGAAAGGAAGAAAGAAACAGAAGGGAATAATTATGCTGGTATTGGCGATGGCTATCCTGCTTCTGGGGATAACTCATTATTATTATGGGACGGTAAAATGGTTTTAATCACCATTATTATTTTTATTGCTAAAATGAGCAAGGGGAGAGATAGAAAAAGGAGGCTGAAGACTGAGTTATGTTCAGAGAATAATTTTAAGCTTTTTTCCCAACAAAGTAACGCATCGGTGGCCAGGAAGATACGAATGACTTCTAAAGCCGCCTAAACAGGACACGGGAACGCGGACCGCCAAAAATGCCTGTGGCTATGTTTCGAAGTCCGGAGAAATTAAGTTTAGGATTAGGGTGGGGTTAGGATTAAGTTTCGAGTTAGGTTTAAGGTTGGCCTTAAGGCCAGAGTTGAGGTTAGGCTCGGGATTACTTTAAGGGTTAACGTTTGGGTTCGTTGTAACTAAAGGGTTAGAGTTAAGGGCAAGGTTAGGATTAAAATTACGGCCAAGGTCTAGTTTTATGCTAGGGTAAGTGCTAGGGTAGAGGCAGAGGGGATATTTGCCCTTTATGAAATTTGCTACAGTGCCACCTATTCTGAGTGAGCGAGGCGCTCCTATTTCCTTGTCCTTTTCAGGTGGCCACACAAGTCGTCCTTACCGTAAGAAGATTTTTAAACTTGCAACTTTGGTGTTTCGAATGCAATGACTCTTCTTCCCTCGTGTGGACATTGTGACGGTCCAACAGGTTGATTCAATAACCAAACGCTAACTCATTATACACATCAAGTGCATTTGGACGCGACGAAAGATGTCGTGAACTCTGGCCAACGTGTTCGCGCACAATGAACACCAGTATAGCTTAGACGCCCGTTCTTCAACCCAAAAAGCTTATTTTGTGGATATGGGCTGCGGAGGGAAGCACTTTTCAAATAGATTTTTGACAGTATGCAAAGTTTCTATTTACCTAGCACCAAAGAATCGCAAAAATAGCCTGCTTTTCTTCCCATTATTTTAGAGATAGACACTTTTTTAACTAAGCCCTCTTCCCAGAGTAAGAGTAATCTTCAGCAAACAAAAAGCATTCCTAAGACTGCATTATATACAGTTAACAGTGGCTTGAGCGTAAGCGCGCATCTTTGATGGGCAGTAGTGAAAAAATAATGGGTGATTTCGTCAACCTCTACTTCCGATTCTGACCCCGATAGGCTGTGCTTCGGCCACTAAAGCAACATGAGAAGATTTCAGCCATTCTGAACTTGAGGCACCCTCCCAAATAATAAGAGGACGCCGATGGAGACTATAATATTCTGCGCTGCGGAATGATTGGATAAGGCTAGACCAAATTGGCATCCAAATGTGAACACACTTCCGGCGCTATCTGCGAGAATGGACGTCTCGGCAGATAGTGCAGCAGCAATCAGGGTGCCTTCAGCGACTGCAGCCTGTCTGCATCGGCCCTGCCAATTTAGCCAACTCTGGCTGAATACCAGACTGCGTACTTGGTACGCATGTTCAAGTAAGCGTAGTGTTTCCGCTGGCGCCCGAATTGGGATGACTACAGGTGTGTTGACATGACGTTAAACGGTGTTTATCAATTTTAAGGCCACATTGGCGTACTGTTGAGCAGCGGTTATAAGGGGCAGATTTGTTACTTTCGAATGAACTTGAAAACGGGCATCTCAAAAAGTATAATTGAATCGAAAAAGATTTTTTGGAAAACGAGAAACGCAATTCATTTAAAATTTTTGACGCTGGCACACCAGGTCGTCACTGGACTTAAGGGAAAGGTGTAAAGAAAGTGGCGTATTTTTAAACATGCCGAAAAATCGATAGTGATTCGTCATCCATGGTCAATAGTAGGCTATGGTGGTTGGCGCTTTTTCAAGGCCTTTTTGAGATTTATGTACATTGAATCCAAATCAAAATGCCTACTGATGCGTGATTCGATAGAGAAAATGGCTTCTAAAAATTCGCGGCCTTTCTTATTTGGGCAGAAACATACTATGTGGGTTTGGTCCATGCAAACCTGTGCCCAGTTTAAAGCGAATGCATTGCAACTTCGGACAGGTGGTCGCGCCTCTTTACCGCTAATTGATATTCACGTATGCGTGTAGAGGCGGACCTTTCTGTTTTACCACAATTAATTGCATCGCAGTCGCCGCAAGGAATTTGGTGAACGATCCCTTTTCTGTCCAAATAGCCAGCCCTATTCTTAAGGTGTACAAGTTGATTTCGAAGCGTGATCGTTGGCTTGTGCGCTACATGGATCTGGTACTTCCTCAGGTGTCTTTCAACGAGTTTAGACACGTTTTTAATACATGAAGTGTCCGCCAACCTCTCGGATTGGGCGCACTACAGAATCTGGGGGTTTGCGGTTCCCGTGGCGTTAACCATTTCAATCTTGACATTAGCTGATGTGGGCAGAGTGGTTTTTGTGAATTGTTCGTCTTCTTAGCAAAATCACGGTCCACGTTCCCACTGGTTTAGTTTTCGCCTCAATATTGTTTTGACTATCGCTTCCGCGCTCTATTCCCCCTGTCTTCTGTGGCCCTGTCGGCTGAAGTGGGTTGGTGGGGTCTGGTAGGCGGAATTTGTATCTCAAGCAAATTTTTAACAATGCCGTTGTTTCATGTTACGATACCACGCCCCCTGACCATGCGGTAGTTACAGTAGATTGTATACCTGATGAAATGTTAAGATAAAATTTTGAGTGGAGGATTTAACACAAATTTAGGATTGTTTATTTTGTTCATTGAGTTGACTTGAGGCGCAAAATACTGTTTATTAGAAAATAGCTAAGTTCAGATGGGCAAACTGGGGGAGGGGGGGGACAAAAATGGGCAGAATGAGGCCAAAGCCATGGTTTGTTATTATCCAAGGAATTTCCTTCTTGTATATGCATGTTGTACTATAAAAGAACATTCTCAAAGACTGGCAACTTCTAATTATCTGTTTTCAAAGAACAGAAAATTTTGTTTTGTGCTCATGAAATGAGGGTAAATACAATTATGAGATAGCGCATTAATGTCGGGAAAAGAAGAGTGGACTAAATTTTAAAAAACCTTTTTTTGCAAATCTGCTATGTCTTGTGCCACAAAATTAAATACTAAACGCATGAAGCTGTAAATTCTTTGATCACACCGAAAATAACGACCGTAAACAAGTATGTATATATAAACACCAGAGACATGCCTTCACCTTTCTCTGAGGCGGCGTGTGCGAACGATGTCTGACCAATTTCTATCTGCGGTCAACGTTCAGAAGATGGAAAAACTTGTAGCAGATGGAGTGCCGGACGAGTCCTTAGCAAGTGCTTTCAGTGTAAGTAAGGTCACTCTTTGGCGCATTATTAATGACAGAACTATGCCCAGAAATAAGCAGGGAGGACGAAAATAGTCCACAAGTAAGCAGGACGACGGTTTCATTTGTCGAACACTAAAAGGATATCATTATATGCCTACTTAGACTATTCAGATGGAACATCTATCAATTTCTCTATGGAACTAATTAAGAAAAAGATGCAGGAATTTAAACTGCATCAGAAAAAGGCTACAATCAAGCCGTTTTAAGTAGAAAACCTATTAGAGAACGTGTTCTTTTTGCTAAAAAGTACCCTGATTACCGGCCCTTATTCTGGATAAGAATGTGCACTTTTGTGATACAGTGCTGTTTTTAGACAAACCTGTTAGGTCGACTCAGGTTGTCCTATGTGGAAAAAAATTTCCAAAAGAACACACTGCACCGACACCAATATTCAAAACTGTCGATGCATAATGATTTGGACGGCTATAAAGTTCGGAGGGCGGCCAATTTGGCGGTCGACTATGGACACCATTAACAGTAAGATGTTAGTTGACATCTCAACAGATGCCTTCGGTGACAGCAGCATCTAAAGACGCAAAGTTTAGACGATCATTTTACAGCATAATGTTTCAGCTCATCGTTCAAAAGAGGTATGAATTTGATCACATGTACGACTGTAATCTAACGTTTTAAAGAAAAGCCGGCCTCACCGCGCGTGGCTTTCAGTCTATTTTTATTCGTGCTAAGAGCCTGGACCTAAATCCCATATAAAATCTTTTTGAACTTG